CCATGCGTTTAGTTACAATACCATTAAAATAGGTCTTCTCGTTGACTGTTAGACCACAATTTAAAGCCAAAAAGAGGTGGTAATATACGGACTGTTCTTACAAACTGATAGCTCTTCCCCCACCCTGCAAAAATGCATCCGCCTTCCACCTTGTGGCTTTGGGTTGCAGCTGTCAAGGCATCACTCTTCCGCGCCTTAATGGTTGCAACATTTTTCAAGCAACCTTCAAAGACCAAAAGCTTGAAGGCGAAAAACAGGCGCAATGCAAATTTATGGAAATCGACCATCGAATAAAGGAAATTTTTTGGAATTTCCTGTTTTCAAGCAATTGAATTAAGTTGTTATTTGGATCTTCTCTCATTGCAGTACATTCAGAGCATGGAATCAAAGGTGAATAAGCTAAAGAGCGAAATGGTTCATCTGGAGAACCGTCTGCGTGCCTCTGAGAGTCATTGCGTTGCAGGCCAGACATTTGTTGAAGATCGACGGAGCAGATCCTCGGACGTCAGGCGGTGTCAAAGGTCACCTGCTTCTGCCTCTGCAAATACTGCCGTCTTGTCGATGACGAGACCCGTGAATCGGTCCGTTAGCAACGGAGGCCATCAATGTAGTCGCTCGGAGTGCATATCTGGTGGCGATGGTATCCCTCCCATCTACCCCAATGAGGGCTCTCCGCCTCCTTACCGTATGATTAGGACCTCAGCTGCCACCAACACCCGTAAGAAAACATTTCCTTCTAGCGTTTAGTGCCTTCCGAAACCTAGCATTACAGCTAGTGATGCCCGTTAATTGCTTAACATAATGATTTCCTGAGCTTTAACAAGTACTTAGGGGGTGTAAACTTTCTCCTCCACACCCCTTTGCCTTCTCCCGAAATTGAATTTCTCAAGAGTTAGGAAATTATCAGTCATTGTAAATTGAGTTCATCACAAGTAGTGATTTAGTTATTCCTACAGCCATCCAAATAAGGACTTCCACCTTTTCGAATGATCGTGACCTCAATGCACTCCAACATGTGCCAGAATTGCGGTATCAGTGGTCCTCTTGCACACTTTGCTTCAGCATCGTCGGGCTTACTCATACGACCTTTCTAAGACCTAAATCTGTCAATGGAATAGTCGGCCTATTTTAGGTGACTGTTTATCATCCAGAAGGGATGCCTGTCCCAATAGTACACATCAAAGCGCCACTCTTTGCCTTGGCACACATTCGTGAGATTTGGTCAAATGATAGTACTCCCCTACGAACCGCATTTCGAAGTCGCTTTAATTCATTTTAACATCTATTCCAAAAGTGGAGTCTGTCTTTGAAGACCTGCCGTTCTGGTGACAGTCAAGCAGTCTTAATTAAACAGAGTTTATTCCCTTACCATCGGAACACGTCAGAGCCTATGACCTAATTTAGTAGCGCCTCTTGCACGCACCTGATCTAGTCTCCAGTTCCGCACCTCTAAGGTTATTATTTCACCTAAAGTGGACTATTCAAAATCACAAAATTCACAATTAATTGTGCAAACATTGGTAAAAACGAGAAACATTTAGCTGCTCTATCCAAAAAGGTTTACGTTTACTGGAATTTTGAAATCTTACTGACATCCCTCGCCCCGTAGCTCGATTTCACAGTTATCTAGATGGCTGTTTAATATCTTATGTTTTAGTCGACAGTGACAGAATAGCAATGGAAGATTTGTCCATTCCAATCAAAATTAAGCCAATATTACTTTCCCTCAAAAAGATTTTCAGTCGCAATCCCGTCCCATTTGGTCAAGCAACATGTCTTATAATGCTCCAAGAGCTTGTGAAGATTGTGCTGTTGCGTTAAAAGAAAGAACATGAAGAACACTACCATCAGCGTTTTATTGATAGGCCCAGCAACAGAACATTTTAGTTGGTGATCAGTCCTTCCCAAAAGCATCACGTCATACCTCCTTTGGCCCCTTGTTTGCCTGTTTTCCTTAAAATATGAAGGGAGGAAAATGTCATGGAGCAACCAGCAATGCGAATCGAAAGTGGGTTAGTTCAGCATTAACACTGGAATGTCGATTATACAGCCTTAGGAATGAATAGTTGCAGACTTTCATCCTTGCCTCAAAGACAAGCGTGCTTTGCAAAAGCGGGCAAACGTCAAAATTGGTTGATGCGTAATGATCTGGTGGTAAAAAATACAGTCCTTAACGTTACTGATACCAATGGACATCGGGACGATCACGACTTCACTCTTGAGTTTCTTCGGGCCAATAAGTAGGACCCAATAGGTGCCAGCATTCATGTAATGACACAGAGCGAGTAAGGTCCGGAGGGAGAGAGAGAGAGAGAGAGAAGGCGAGGGAGAGATACTATTGAGGAGGATGAAACTCGCATGGAAGTTACATTATCTAGTCTACTTCTGTGACGGAAATGCTTTTATACAAATTGGTTCAAACTGTTTCAGATCTTAACCTTGTTTGTGAAGTTGTTTTAAGCGGATTACCTTGGACTGGAGAATTGAAAAGTGAATTTAGTGATTTAGCATTCTTAAAAAGCTCAAAGATTGAAATGAGATTTGTTGGCTAGTGTATCAACTCAATAAAGCATGGCTTTTGTGAGAACGGCAAGCAAGTCCTTGTACCAAAGTTATGCTTTACCTCCGGGATACACCGCCTCGGTTTTGATGTTTAGCAAAGAAGCTTAACTCACGTCTCCTCCCCTACGTCGCAGTAATTGTTCCCTATTGTTCTAGTGCTGTCGGCAGGTCAATAGCATTTTGTGGATTTGAACTGTACTACAGGCATGCACCCACGTTGTTTGGTGGATTAGAGTGGCAGTTTGCGCGCCAAAGCCAAGTTGTTTGACACACGTGGGCCAGGCAATTGCTCCCTTTCTCTCTCGCTCTTTCTGAACTTAGTCAGTATGATTTAGAGCATCCGTTGATTCCAATGCACACGTGTCGCCTTTCCTCCCCACTTGGTTGGCGTTTCACGGCTTTTGATTGGGGATTGCTTGCCTTGTGTTGTTTTACAAAAACGTGATGCGAATATTCATAATGGTTTCCAAGACATGTGACCAACATTGGCTTTACATGTCAAGTAATCCATCTTGGAAATGCAGCAAACTCTGACACAGTGGAGGGGGAGATTACTACTTACCAGTCATTCGCTTGCAGGTCCTGTCAGCTAGTGCCTGTGCCAAGGATGGTTTACATGAACCGATCACAACCGCCTTTACCAGGTTCTGTGTTTCCTCAAGAATTGGATAAACTCACAACTCCAAAGCGTTAAGTAGAAAGCAGATCCTATTGGCACTGTAATGTGCCAACAATTAACTACCCAGCCATGACCTCGTCAAGCTGCCTCAGCTTTGTCAAGTGTAACATGCAAGAGTTAACTTCCAAACATCTGAAGGTTTGTGCCACCCACTGTAAACCATTTGACTGGGTGTAAAACAACAATATGGAGAAGAGGAGATTTTTTGTCTGAGAATATCTAGTAATCATGAGTAATAGCAACTCACACTCCATGCTGAGCACAATGCAAGACAACGAACAGGCAGCCTCGACCCCCATCCGTAAAGCCTCGTCAAACACTCACTTTTGATAGCAATAGCTCCTGGGTTGTGGGCGCCTTCACTTGTGCAACTCCTACGTCCAACCTCCAAAAATGTTTCCACGTAGATGCCTCGAGAACTATTGATGTGCGCTCAGCCACGAAGATATCTACTACTCTACATTTGCTACGTGCAGACTAGCTCTACGATGCTCATTGGAGGCGAGAATCAGGGAACTAAGCGAGACTCAAACGACTCCTCATATTTACCCATCAGTGATCAATCTAAACAATGTTTACTTTTAAAACTTTCAGGTACAAAAGTTCGATTCATACCCCCAGATTTAAATCGAAACGTAGCGTCAAAACCACAGAAAATGACTTCCTTTCCTCCGCCTGTCTTCCGAATTTAACAAGTCTATGTGTTGCTTCTTTCCCTTGTCAAAATTTCGTCATCCCCTTAAAATACCGTCTGTACCTCTTTATGCTTGTACAAGAAAGCCGCTTCGTTTTCAACGTTCTTCCCGTAAGTTGCAATCTCTACCTAAGTTTGAGGTTGGAAGGTGTCATGTGGAGCATCAACTCCCTTATCAAAATAGGTATCAGGCAGAAGCGACTCGAGTTCCCACTTTAAAACCGAATTACCTCAGTAGAAAAGCCGTCATTCCCTTTGTGAATGAACATCGATGAGTGAAGGAAACGTTAAGTGAAAGAGGAGAAGCAAGTTGTTATGTGAGATAGCAAAAATAATTGTTCGGTGAATGAAACATTGGAAATGTAGGAGGGCGAGAGGTGGGGTGGAGGCAGCTTTGCGCGGTTAAGAGAAGAGGAAGGGGGTAGTATAGAAAGGGAAACATATGTGTGCACATACACGTGCCTCTTCTTGATTCCCTAAGTCGCTTGCAATGTTCGGCGGTAAGGCGAATAAATCAGTGAAGCAATAAGGCCCAATGATGCCAATAGTAATGGAGGCGGTGTTGACGACACCGGCAACACATAGCCTCTCAAATACATGCAAGCACGCACGTAAATATACAGGAGGATGGAGAAAGTGAGCCATTAGGAGAACAAGAGGAGAGGAACAGAGGAGCCACAGCCAACAAGTGAGAAATAGGAGAGAAAGTAGGGTGAGGAGACTGAGAAATGGCAGAACACGGGTGGTCGTGCGCAATACAGAGTCCGTAGTGCAAAAT